TTACATTATGTGACAGATTTGCTTCCCTCAGTCTTGTGCGTGTGTTTCTCATTCATGTTTTCTGTGTGGTAGGCATTGACGTTTGGGAGAGTTGCCATGTCTTCTTTACCTTGCGGGCAGTTGCCTTGACAATGTAAGCAATCAAAACTACAATGGAGTTGTGTAATGATCCCGTTTCCCTTTTTTTCTGTTTAGTGTCTTATCTGTGTTTATCTCCCATGCACATCTGACTTTCACAAACAAGTTTGCGCTTTTTATGTCTCATTTGGGTCCACTTTCATTTCATCATGGCACAGTCTGTACTCACAAACTGTTTATTGAGACTGGTGGTATATTAGCCACCTGTAAGTTCTCTAAGCCACTATTGTCTCAGTACTGCATGAAGAGCATTCATTTGCAATACGGGTTCAGCTTTTATAATGTCTGACATGGGCAGGATTGAAGGTTTACGAATACATCTTTAAGGCACATACCGAGCAGAGGAGAGATTAATTTATTACATGGTTGAAGTACTTGAGTCATTCCAAATACACATCTATGAAGGCCCAACTTTCAGTTGAGCAAATCCATTTGAACATGGATTTCAAATGATAAAAGTGAAATCAATCAGACTTAAATGTTGTTGGCAGAGTGCTAAAAAAAAAAGAAGTTTAGTTGTACCTTTGGTTAAAGAACAACCACATAAAGATGAACCTCTTGTATTTCCTTCTATGCAGAATTTTATGGTTTGCATGTCAGAGTCTGATTACTGATTCAAGCTACAACTCGGTTCAAGCTTGAATCAGATGGATTTTGCAAGTATGTTTGACATTTTTTGACATACCATCTAATTGCCTTTATCAATGCATTTCTGAAGGTTGTCCATTAAATAGATTTAGAGTTTTGTTCCTAATTTGCCAATTTGCATTCTTTCCCGAACATCTCGTTCACTATGTTTCTGACTGGGGTTTTAAATATTTTTGAACATTAGTAAGGTGTGGCATTTACCTCAAAAGAAATTATGATGGAATTCACTTTGGTCAGCCCCATACAGGTGGCTGGGAGGTTGGAAATTACTTCCATATTGTACTGGCAACACTGTTAGAAGGGTAACTGGTGTTGATCAGAGAAAAATATTTAGTTTTTTTTTTGTTTTTGTTTTTTTATGTGAAGCTTTTCCAAAGGATGTTTAACTTTTTTAAACATACATTTTGGAAAACTTTAAGTATATTCTATGACATGTGGAGAGTTATTTCAGGCTATGTGAATGAGAAGGGGTCAAGAGTTTCAGCAGATAACAGGAAGGCTTCATTTTTCTAATGAGTAAATACATACCATATATGGTATGTATGTGATACCATTTGTATACGATACACTGCCAGGTCAAGCCAACAATAAACCTGTTAGTTGTGGATGTTGTTACAACAGTGCTTTATCTTCCAGGTTACTGTGGTTTAACTTTTCTTCTGCATAACATCTTAGTTTTTACATCTAATTATTTTATCCAGTAGTTTGAAAGTATTTATTTTACAACTGCTCAGTACACCTTCCAAGTTCCCACTAATCAAATAAGACGATGTCACTCTCTGCTACATGTGCTGGATAAAAGAGAAGCTAAAGCTGCAAGTAGTTGTCATTTTTAAATATCCTATAGACGTAATTTAGAGATTGAAACAATTTTCTAATTATATAAACTTTATTCTCACAAACAGCTGATGCAGTGGTTTGAACTGGTAACTTCCTTTTTAAGCTTCGTCTTTGTCATGGGGGAAGTATGTTGTGTTCTCTTACCTCAGACTCTCAATGATGTTTTTGTTTGTTTTTAATAAACAATAAAGTAGCCAATTATGAACGAATTTGTTTTATGGCTCTAAGATATGTGTCGTTAAAGGAAGCAAATTCAACTTTATGGTGTAATCTGATATAATCTTATAGAGAACATGGAGGCGGAAAATATTGGAATGATACTGAAAGCAATGCTGTTGGTATTTTGTGTACCTTTGTAACAACAGTACTACCATTAAAAAAGCTCCCCGAATTTACAACAAAAACAATAATTATTATTTTTAACAAGATTTCTGCCCATCTAAAATCGTCCAATCCAAACACAAATCTAAGTAATTAATTTTTTATGTAATATTGAAGTTTAATCTGGGTCCAGTGCATTATGATTACATATTATTTTTCCAGGTTCCACATGCAAAGCAAATCTTGTGGTGACTTAATCATTTTAATTCAGAGAAACACTTTGCTCTGTCAACATGTTAGCAGCTGTGTTGGCCAAGATCCCTGACTGCTGCTGTTGTCTACCTCCTACCTCATGGTTGACCTCATCGCTGCACAAAGGCTGTGCAGTGTCGGTCAGTTGCGGAGGCCGAACGGATCTGCTTATGCGTATTGATATTGCCCTGACCTGAAGGACACAGAGCAAGCCGCAGATTACCTCAGTGGTAACACTAGATGCGTTGTCCTGAATTTTGCATGGTCACATTGACCTAGTTGCTCCTCTATTATTCATGGCAGAGATTGGAAAGCAGCAAAATGAATACATGCAGACATGCATGCATGGATATCTGGAGGACAGGAGCAAAGGGACATTTGAAAGATTTAATAGCGCAAAAGGTAAAAGAGACAATGCGGTTGAATTCACTGCTTGAAACCTAAGAGCCATGTGACCGACTTGCCTGTGAGTTCATGCCTCTGTGTGCGTGTGTAAACTCTATCAGTCCTCAGGCAGAAAAGGGTGCGGGAGTAATTCTGCACAGGAGACATAACACCCCGACCATTAGTGCAGCAGCTCACATAACCCAAGCGCTGGCAGCTGACAGACATGCGTAAACACATGGCACCGCTTCCCCCCGTATTCAACATGGCTTCAGTATTCAACACCTCTCTGCCCCCACCACCACCTCCAGGCCTCTTCTTTCTAGCGCTACACTTGGGCAGCTCACAAATATTTGCCATGCTTCTCCGCAGGCTCTCAGAAGCAAGGATTAATGGTGGTGTGTGCCGCACGCCCGTAGCCAGACAAAGAGTCCCCATCTGGAGCTCCAACCCGTGACTGAGGGACAGAACAGAGGCAGCACACAGAGTCTGGTCTAGGCCGGTCTGAAAAGTGGGGGTGCAGGGGGAGGTATCTATAGGCTCCCCTTTATAAATGAACAGGACTCCTGTAGATGAATGAAAAGGGTGTCCATGTCTTTTGATGTGATTGGGAGGAAAAAGGGTCTTGCATGCCGACCCTGGGCCGGGTGCTCCACCAAATGGATTACATTTCCTCCACCAGCTGATTAAACAGCCATATCTGCATCCATCAGTGGATGCTGATCCAAAGAAAGGCATTAGTGAGTGGGGGAGATATGAACTGTTGAGGCACGCTTTGTGAAGCTTTTCCACAATTTAGGAACCAAAGCAGAACCGAGATTATGATTGTAACCTCAACCAGTCTAAGACCTTTTTAGTTTAATTTTCAACAGCATACAGTTTCCACTTAAAGAAAACTTGATACCAGGCATAACTTTATGGCCACTGACAGATGGGCCTTCACCTACACATTGCTATTTAATCACTTTCTACTTCTGTGTCAACTCTGTAAGCAAATATTTTCCTGTTAAATCAGTTTATTTTTAATTGAAGTTTAGTGTTTTCTTCAATTATTCTTGAATATCTGAACAGCAACCACATACAGCAACTTATAATCTTTACAAATGTGTTTATTTCTTTATATCCAATAAGATGTTAATGCCTTACTGTGGCCGTTTCCATTAAAGATCAATTGGAGGGTTTTTTTTCTTTCACTGTTTGACAATTAGATAAGGGAATTATTAAATGCTTTTGTGTCAAGTCCATCACTTAAAGTTGACTCTTGCGTAATTTGTCAAGTTAGACAAAGTTCTGTAAAGTGTGCCTTTATGTGGTGTCTGGGAAAAGTGAATCATTTTTTAAGGATTATGTTGTATCAACCCACTCTTCTCTAGTGACTGGTTCTTCTTTCATGTGATGGTACTCTTACTTGCAGCCTCCAGTTATTCAGCATTATCATAAATTTTGATCATAAAAGAAGTCATGTCTTCCATAGTTTATTCCATAATATGCCATACTATTTTCTGAAAACATTCTATGACATCCCGTTTACTCATTTCTTTTGGCTCTGAAAGCAGTTTAGATCAGTTGACTCACCTAAGCAACCTCTTGCTGGTAGATATCATTCATCAACATCATGAGTAGACCGTCAGTTGTCAAAGCAGGTATGGATAAGGACATAGTTGGTTAAAAAAAACAAAAAAAAACATGCCAACTATAAATGTACAACATGATGAGAAGTCTAAATGGCAATCACAGAACAGGTAAAGTGAACACTGGTTGTCAGCATTTAGTGGCAGGGATATTTATGTAGCGTAGTTTATTGGGTACAGTGGTACTAGCTTTGTTATCTGATTGTGATTTAGCCTTCGGAGTACATTGAACTCATTGTCACGTCATGATTCGAACAGCATTTTTTTTGCTGAAAGTAGCCAAATTGAGGTTTCGGAGCCAAAATGAGTCGTAGAATGTGGTATTTATGTATTGAAATGTTTTCCGTTGGGTGTGTGTAATCCAGTTTGTCTGTTTCAGTTAGATGCCAAAATAGTAAAGGTTAGAACGCACCGCTGCAGCTGGTGATGAAGGTCAGAAGCATGCACTGCCATGCATTTCTGTAAAAGAAGCAGCTGCACAGATACCCTTTTAAAAGCACTACTAACGCCGCAACATTTATTGGAAACAAACATTATTTTTATTGCACTGCTATTCATTCTTAGAGACTATGAACCTCTTTCTACTGGGACATATTTCCACAGAAGCTTATCAGGGTGGTCGGTATCCAAACTCTGGCTTGTGTGGGTTATTTTCAAGCCATCTTGTCCACTTTATTAGACTCCATTCTGTGTTTTTATCGTCTGAGAGCTAGATTCTATGTTTACAGATTCTCCTGTTACAGCTGCTCCTTCCTATTTCTCATGGTTTCTCTTGTCATCCTGCAGGCCAAGTGACGAGAGGCACCCAACTGTAATCGCTGATGCAACTGTGGACAACCTGGCCCACGCTGTGGATGTGATCCTCGGTCAGAGAGGGTGCGGCCCTTGAGAACCCTCCACTTGCTGTGGCCCAGGGCCGTCCTGGCCCACTGTCACACTGCAGTGCTAACTTATGGCTCATAAAAGAGTCGTTTCATATGAGGAGGTCCCTCAGTGTTGAGGTAGTTGAAGAAAAATGTGAAAAGAATTACCAGAACTATTCCCATGTTGTCTAGCCACTATAAACTGTGCTGTTAAACATGGGAGCGGATCAGCCATCTGCTTGGCCTACATAGTGTTAACCTAACTCCTGTGAAACTTATCCTAGATGGTTGTAAATGCTCTCGAACTGCGCTGTTCATTTGTCAGTTCGTGATTGGCATAGATGGGATACCTCAAGCTTGACGCAAATGAGCATGTAACCAGCTGCTGATCGACGGTTAGATGTGGAAAGTCGAGGCATCCAGAGTGGTTGGAAACATGAACAGAAGTGCAGCTGAGAATGGCTGTGATCAAGTCGTTGCATGTGTCATAACACAAATGATCGCTCTGCATAAGAAATAGATATTACATATTTAGTTGGAAAATAAAGATATTTGATCCTCTTAAAGTCTTCAGAGTAATTGTCTTGGAAACCCTAAAGGTTTCAAAGCACCTGGGAAAAGTTTGGCTTTTGTTCCTTTAGTCTTTGAACCTTAATTCATAGCAGAGAAGCCTTTTGTTTGCACAGTAGTAAAACTCTAGAAATGGGAAGTGAGTTAAACTGATGATGAACAGTAAATGTCACATTTATAATCACAAAGCACAATGTATTGTGTCATAAAATTTCTTCAAAGGGCAGACAGAGTAAGTTTTGAAGCTGTGCATAAATTATATGCATTGAGAACGATTTCAAAAATGGTAATATTAGCCGACCCCTGTAATAGATCAACAAAAATGTTTACAAATAATTTTTTGGTAAACTAACATTTATTTTTCTTCCAATCTCCCTTTTCACCTCAAAATGAATCTAGGGCTTACCAATTTCTTTCAAAGTCACTTTTTAGTGATTATTCTCAGTAAAAATTCAGCAGCCCTTTGAAGACCTCAGAGGTTTGAACCATAAGTGAATAAACGGCGTCATGATGACCAAAGAACACAACAGGCAGGTCAGAGGTCACATGATTGAGTTGTTTCAAGTAGGATTCAATTACGAAACAATATCCCACAATTTGATCATCACAAAAACCAAATGCTAGTGCTAACTTTATGTGTCGAATCCCATAAAATTAGCATTGCACAACTACAAACTTAACAAGCTCAGGCCATCAAGCTAAACAGTGAGCCCATGCAAGAAGAGCACTAATTGTAAGCAGCCAAGAAATCAAATAAGTTTTAGAGACTGATGACAGCACAACTATTAGTTTTGTAAAACACAAATGTATTTTTAGGGAAGTTAAATTGTTGAAAGAAAGCCAAAAGAATTCCCCGCTGCATTTTGCCACAAGCCTTTTTAGATGACAAGAGTTGATGGGAAGATGGGTTCAGAAAAAAATCCTGGAGCAAAACGTGTGAGGCTGCAGAAGAGAGAGGGACTGGGGCAGGTGTTCACCTTCAAGCAGGACAACAAACTTAAAAGACAGCTACTGGTTTAGAGAATCACCTTAAAACTACATTCCTTTCTTCCCCACTTCACGATCACGTGCTGAATCGAAGAAAATGAAGCAGACACGCCATGAGCGAAGAGAGAAGAATCCCAAATCTCTGCTCATATTTATTGTTTTGACTTGAATTCCTCCCCTGCCGGCCTCTGATAGTTACGTCACATGTTGCCTGCACTGCGCTGTACAGCGAGGGCTGATAAAATGATGAGTGTGTGAAATCTGTGCGTGCCAGCTGGATCACAGAGGCCTTCTTGAAGTGGGGCATAAAACAAATGATTCTCAATTGCCTGCCCCCGAGGTCCCAGTGTACATTCTGCGAGAACAGAAATCCGCTGCCAAGTGATTCATTGAGGTCTGACTGGTTCATTTCACCATTAGCTGACACACATGCTTGAATGTTATTGGACAATTAGAGGTAATAAAAATGCTGCAAAGTGTTATGAAACCGTGTCTGAGCTGGCTGTGTCGCCGCTCCTTCAGATTGCTTATTAAATATTAATGCACCCGGCAAAGTACTAGCAGCTGGTACTGCTGGTGCTCTGTTTTCTAACAGCTCTGTTTGAATGAGTGTTTTGTCTGTGATACTTCCCTGCCTGTTGGCCTTGTATGTGAAGCAATTAAACATTCGTTTCATTGGTTTTAGATTATTTATTTTTCTTCTTCTTCTACCAGTTTTTCGAACGGAGTCTAAAACAGAAGCTCTCTGGGAAAGTTCAGCATTACTCAGTCTCAGATACAAACGCATCTCATGACCCTGAGCCGGCTGGTTGTTAACCGCACCTCTCAGAAATTGCTGGAGGTATTTTTTTTTTCTTTTTACACGAGTTACAAATTAGTACAAGTCTATCCAGTTCAGGTTGTCATGTTGGGTAAACAGTAGTAAGTTCCTCCTGGAGTACAGCGTATCGATTCCTTCACCGTCGCTGCAGCCTGCAGAGCTGCTCCAGACAACAGCAATGGCCTCATTTTCAGCAGACGTGTCTGGACATGAGTGAGCTCACACCCATTATTGACAAGCTGTCAAATGATTAAGCAACAGGCCGCTCTTCAAGCTGAAATCTTACTCTTTTGCATCGTGAGATTTGCTCATTGCTTGGTTTCGGTTCGTGATGTGACAGCAGGCCAACCTCACCGACTTATACTCGTGATCTTCTTGTGTAGCTTCGACTTTTCTGTGGCTTCTTCACAGCTCAAAAAATGTCTTTGTGACGACGCTAGCAACCTGGCTGTGGGCTGACCTGTTTGATCATTCAAGTCATTTCAATGAGGAGCTGCAGAGCTGCTTTCACAGCCTTTGAACTCCACAGAGAGCCGTTGCCCACTAAAGGAGAAAATGCTTAATAGTGTCAGACCTTCCTGGGAGTGTCCAAGCGACCAAAATTATTTCATGAAAACATCAATGACTCATCCAGGAGGAAGAACCCAGAACAACATCAATTTCTCTCAGACATCAGAATTCACTGATGAGACGGAGGCGTCGTTGAGAGAGAAAACTATTTGATCAAATAGAACCCGTGTTTGCCAAAAACATTTTAATGATCCCCAAAATGTTTAGAACTATACTCTGAGGACTGACAAAACAAAATTGGAAGGTGTACAAAGTGTTAAAACTGGTCCACATGTCCATAAAAATGTAAGGTTCTTTTTAAAAATGATTCTACATAACTTTAGAAAGCTCGTTTTAGAAAAAGATATATATTTTTTTGCTTTTGTTTTTCCAGAAGTGATGCCTGTAGGGTTCCGACCCAGCACACAGCGTGCAGCGTGCTCCCTGCAGTCATTCTGAGCCAACGTTCGTATGCGGTTGCATGTCATCTGTTTGGGTTAGACTCCTCTTTAACCGCATGCACACTGCCATACTTGTGCCACACCTGCACTCACCCACCTAAAACAACTTCCAGCTGTGTACTCCCTTCAGCTTTCATCTCCTCTCATTTGCCTCTTCCTGTTGAACAGGAAATGGTGGGTCAGGTGACCAGACGGAGCAGCGCACCTGCAGCACTGAGCGCTCCGTTATCCGTGGAAAACCTGAACCTGTTTTTATGGCAGCCGGTTGTTTGTCGCGCCTCCTCCTCCTCTGTCCTGAGTGTGGAATATTTACCTTTTGCTTGCCAGGCTTCATGCGTTCCTCCACATTTCATCACTCTCCATTCCTCCTCCTGGGCGACTGTGCCAACGGTTCCAAGAGGTGTGGTGAGGTTTTAAAAGTCTGAACAGTTATGGTTTGAGCCAAAGCCTGATTTTTCCTTCCTTTTCATTCTCCCTCCCAGTCCAATCCCAGTTTCCCCATGACAGCCTTTACAAGCAATCGGAGAAGCATCCCAGTTCAAACACAGAGGAGTCTGTATTCTGCTGATGTGGCCCACAGTCGTCACAATCCCCCCTCCGGGGACATGACCCCTTCTCATCTGCGCACTGAAGCCTCTCTAAGGCCTCGCGCTGCAGACACAAAGCACGTCCCCATGACGCCGTCCTCAACCTTGCGCGCATGCATAATCCCAGTGTAACGCAGTGGTCGTATGTCATCATGCAATGTAAACCGATTGTCTTGGTATTCAAAACATCTGAAAGCTTACAGCTGACCTCGGCTTTGTAGCCAGGTCTCTCTCTGGGCTCCTTCTTTTCGGAGGATTTCCAGTTGCTTTGTTGTCAGAGTGAAAGGAGGCCTGTTGAGTGCTCCTATAATGGTTCCTGCAAGCATCCTGGAAATGAGATCTTTCTCAACATCAGGAGAGCTTTTATAGCTTTAAATTGTCCTTTTTGCGACAGCTTAGCCTTGAATCAACCCAATAAACAAAATGTATAAAGGTCGGTGCCACATCCAACAGGAGAACGTAGGAAGAAAAAAAGTTTCTGGCACAACTTCAACTCCCCAGATGCATGAAAAGGGTCAAAGGTCTGATGAGATGTAGACTTAAATGAAGTTCCAGGAAACAATTTAGATTTATAATGTTAAATTAATCCCTGAACTTAAAAGTAGTAATTAAAGGAGCATAATGCAGCTACAGCCTATCTTCTGAAGTGTTTGTTGTAGGTCTCATTGCACTTTTTTTTACATTTACTGTAAATGTTTGACATCATCAAACAAAATTTGATATCAGACACAGATAACCCAAAGAACAACTTGCAAAATAACTATCCTTGTTCATCCAAATTAACTGCTCCTACACATTAAACATGTTTTTTTTTTGTTCAGTTCAATTAGCCATACCCAGGTCTGATTACTGACAGGTTCAAGCATTCATTTGACATTTTAAAAGTAAAATTTCCAGATGATCAGGAAAGAAAAGCATTCTTGAAAGGTTGCCCTTGTAAACCGGAATTAAAACGAACTCTGTTCCTTTTACTACGAACTGACAGTCAGGCATGGTTATGTCAGTGTGATGGTGACGCTTTGCTTTGTCTGGATATGGATGACTGTACCAGAAAACCTGGAAAGATTCGGTTCATGATATTCAAGATCTCTTTGATCATCCAGCAGAAAAATTATTCAAAACAAACAAAGAGACTCGCATGAGAATGGCTTACAGTTTTGTAATGGGCAGTCAAAGTCTGAACTTAAATCTGATTGAGAATCTGTGGTAAAATCAAGCTGTTCATTCTCACAAAAAAACAAAACAAAAAACAACTTCCCAATATGCCTGAGTTAAGGCATATTGGTAGTGCTCTGCTCTGCTTTGTTTTCCACACAGGGCCGGGTTAATTTATATACCTTTTCCATCATTTGAAAACTGGATTGTGTTGCGTCTACCCTGCTTATCTTTATCTGACATTAAATTGTTTGATGATTTTGAGTAGTTAGGTGTAACAAAAAAAAAAAAAATAGTAAGGTGTAACGAAAAAAAAAAATCGCAAACGCAGTTATTGGAGCAGAAAGGACTGTGTATAACCCCTTATGACAGTTCAAAAGTGACCAAAACTCTGCTGAGTTAGTGCTTGTGGGGGGTTGTGAGAGCGTGCAGCGCTGGACCTTGGCATAGCCCACCCCTCCTGTTGTATGCCTATCTTCTCCCAGAACACAGCCTCCTTTCACTCCTGCCACTTTGCTGATTAAAGCCCTCGGTGTGTCAGTCTGCGCTCAGCACGTTTAACAAGGGCCATGTTTACCCATTTCCAGGGCCGGTAAGTGGCTTGCACGTAGCACAGGCGGCTGACAAGAGTGAATGTGACCTTACTGTGCAAGCATAGAGATTCTCGTCGGACAACATAATCATCCATTACAGGAGCACACAGTGGCCTTGGAGGCCACTTAAATTCCCCTCAGATGGGGTTTTGTGTGGCATTTGAGCCAGGAGAATAGCATGTCAAGCAATCTTCGAATTACTCGGCCAGGCCTTCAATGATGTGACTTCATTCCTTCAAAAGGTACCTCACACTTTCAAAGAATGTCGAGCAGCATCAGCACGCCACAAAAGGGTGTGCGATCACAACAGAGACAAAAAAAGAAGAAGAAGAAGAAGGAGAAAAGTGAACAATATGAACTCTTGAGATCTACACAGGCACCAGAGCCGGGGAGGGGAAGCAGACAAACGGAGCAGCAGCAGCCCTGACACATGGCCCACATTCACTGCCGCCTCCCACGTCACCGCGCTCCTTAGAGAAAAAGCCCCTTTTGTTTCCCAGAGCGGGGAGGGAGCGAGGTCTTTGGGGTGAACCGTCGCTCAGCTTCACCTCTCCACCCGCCATCAAAAAAAAAACAAAAAGAAAACTAAAATTATTTTGGACAAAAAAAAAAAAAAAAACAGAGCGTACTTCCCTCCCCTGCTCAGCGTCCTCCCCGCTTCAGCACACAAACACAGGCCCATCAGCCGCACCACGCTTACTGCTGCAATTGTTTTCATGCAACTTAATTGCATTGACGAGAAAACCAACGATGGCATTTGCTGCCTAATAGTTGTGCCCTACTAAAAGACGTGTTTTAAAACGCAAATGTGCACAACTCATTGGAGAAAAGCAATAAAAGAAAATCCATGCAGAATAATCTGATCTATAAACTTGCAGTGCGTCCACATCTATAACAATTATTTGCCTGCTTAAAAAGCAGCGTGAAACCAAAGCCCATGAGTAAACTGTTGAATCTATTTTACATGTAACCTCTTTCATTGTAAAACTGTTCCAACACATAAAATGTCAAACCTCATGCCATCTCGTAAAAAAAGTAGGCCAGCTAAGGAAACGTGGCGTACAATGCAGCGCAGAAATATTTATAACCCTTTAACTTTTTCCACATTGTCACACTACAGCCGCAAAGTTTATGACATGTCAACACAACGTACTCCATGATTGTAAAGTTAATGGAAACAATTTACAAATAAAAGCCAGGAAGTGTGGCATCTGTTTGTCTTCGATCCCCATTTTATGCAATTGTTCATATTTGTTTTATTTGTTAATATATAAGCATTTTTAATCTCTAGGTGTTGTGTTGGACTACATGTTCCCATCAAAGATTTGATTCTTTATTCTGACAGCTGCCTTTCATCAAGAAGAAGCCAAAAGACCCAGCTTAATTCAGGAGGAGCTGCAGCGATTAATAGCTCAGGTGGGAAAATATCTCAACTGTTACTCATGTCAATGAGATCAAGGCAAGATTTTTAAAGCTTACCTGCAAAACACAAATATGTGAAAGAAACACGACATTGCACAGAGCCTTGAACACACAATCCCCATTGTAAAAATGATGGTGATGGCAGCATGATGCTGTGGAGATGCACTTCTTCAGTAGGAACAGGGAAGCTGGAAACCAGTTGGACTTGAACTTTAAAGTAGGACACCAGCCCTAAATCTACAGCCAGAGCTAAAATGAAATGAATTCACGAGTTCAAATGTGCCAGTCAAAGTCCTGACTTAAATTCATGAAGTCAGTATCAAATCAGGTGAAGAGTGATGATCAAACATTATCCATTTAATCCAGCTAACTTTGAGCTATGTTGCAGAAATTAGTAAAAACTTCAGTCGTCGCATGTGCAAGCCCTGCAAGGACTTATGCTCTGAACACGTATCAATATTTTTAGATTTTTTTTATGTAAAATATCCACAACTTTGCATTTCTTTGCGGTGTTTGTCAAACCAAACCCAAATAAAATGGTTGTATCATGAGAAAAAGTAAAAAACTTTTTCTCACGATAAACAAGCGACAAATATTTTTGGCATAGCGCCTGAGCAAAAACGGGACACGAACCTGAACAGCGTACAACAGAGACTGCAAACATCCAGTCAAATAAAGTGACTACAATTTACACTTTTAAACCTGTGTTTATTTTATTTTTTATGTAGAAATTATGTCCATGTTTTACATAACTTTGTAGTTACAAATCATAAGAAAGAAAGAACATTAACACAGTTAGCATCTCAAAGCGTCTTCCAGACTTTCAGGAGCTCAGATCTCAGTAAAGCATCTGGATACTTAATGTTTTGTGCTGCTTGCTGCTCAGTAAAGAGTGAACAGAGCTTCAACAGTAGCTCGATAAGTGGTGTTCATTCGTCTCCATCATGTACCTATGTGCTAGTAAGGAACGTCAGAGGAAAAATAAAGACACTCTTTCTAGTGCAGAGAATTTATACAAACCTGCTGTGAATTCTCTCCAAACAAAGCACAAGTAGGCTATTCAGGGTTAGAGTGATGTCAGAGTATCCATTTTGTTTTGTTTTTTTCTTATTTCCACTCAGAGCCTTCTTCCCTGATTTCCGTTTTATTCTGAGACACCCCACAGTGGGGGGTGGGGGTCGCCTTTAACAACACAAAGTCCCCAAACATGGACATTTAAAGCACAAAACTCCTGCTCAGTCTCTCTTTACGAAGAAGAAGAAAAAAGAAGCCCTGGAATGCTCTCTGCATGAGCTCCCCTTTTGCTTTGTCCTTAAGACTATCAGCACTGTTTATTGTACCACCTGGTGATAAACTTCCAGTCCCGTGATTAGCTTCCCCGCCGGAGGAGAAAAAAAAATAAAAAGCAGCTCAGCTCAGTTCCTCTCAATCTGCTCGATGTCGAGTTCTCCTCCCAACTGGTACATATCCCTCGTCATGCTGCACAGCCCCACCCACAGGGTCTCGCCGTCCTTCCCTCCGGTCGTTCCCGCCGTCGTGTTGTCGCCGCGGTCCCTGGGGTTCCAGTCGGCGTTGGACGACTCGTTCCCGTTGATCTCCGAGCCGACCTCGTTGTCGGACAGGTCGTCGACGTTGGGCCTGAGAGAGAGGGCCGCCGGGCCGGACTTCAACGGGTCGTCGCTTGTGATCCCAGGGCAGCTGAGGCTGTGGAAATTCTTAAGTTTCTGTAGAAAAACGAGGTGGGGGGAAAAAAAAGAAATCAAAACAACCTTGTAAATATCAATTTCTGAAACAGTAAATTACTCATTTCTTCTATAAAATGTTGCTATCAAAAGGAAATGACTAATAAAGATTAGATTATATTACAGGCATCAAGATTACATAAAGGTGAATCAGCAGTGCTGAATATTAAAGGCAGTTTATATACCCCTTTTTAAAAGATATTTATACTTTACAGTCGCATCTGAATGACCTACGATATCATTGAAATGTTAATTTATTTTAGAAATTCAGATCAAGAAGTGAAACTCAAATTGTTAAGATGAAAATCATTTTTAGACATATTTGATGTCATGGCCTCGGCAGTCACTGGGGGTGGGTTAGTTGACAGTTTTCCAGCAGTCAGTCAGTAATTCCTCCCTAAAGAAACTGGGTGTTCACGAAGAGCAGCATCCAACAATATTAAAGGAGAGTCGAGTGGAACGAGAAATGTGGTAGAAAAAGTTGCACACTTTTAAATTGAAAACAATGCAATAGAAATTCATGATGTATGGACAGCATCCATTATGAATTCTTAGGGTAAAGCCCATCAGGGAACAAGGAACCAAAGTATTCTTTTCACATGAAAGTAAATGTTGCATTTAGTGACGTTTGGTCAGATTAGTATTTAAAAGATGAAATTAATTTGCACCATTGCTTCTTGTTATTACTTTTGAGATTATGTGACGAAAGTATAGAACCACAACAGAGCTACATTTAAAAATGCATAATAAAAAAAGATTTAAAAATCTTGGGGCATTAATTCAGCTCGCATTTTACACGGGTTGAGGGTACAAAGCTGTGATCTGTTTCGAGTACCCACGCAGCAAGTGGCCGTGCATCACTCATGTCAGCCTTTTGACTCCTCTGGCCTCTCCATGGCCCTGCACAATTCACACTTAGATCTGGGAAACCTAGAAGCTTCTTCAGGCGAATACACATGTGCCAGTGGTGCTGCGGGCATGCCCTGCGACAGCTGTGCATGCCGGAATGAGAAGCCTTTACGACAGAGACTTATCCAATCTGTACGGCTAATATGGAGAAGGCAGGACAGCTGCCTCAGACCTCGCTGGTGTCAGGCTGGGGGGACGAGAGAGAATGGGGCCTCTGTGAATCCCCCCACCACCCCTGTCATATGCACATTTATGTAACCTTTGGAAAGAGTGGGACTGTTAATTAAGTTCAAGAAGCGCGTGGATGAAGGTGATCAATAGCTTTAGTTGACTGGGGTGGAAAAACCTGCTATTTCAAGATTAATAAAAAGTACCTGATTGACAAAACACCATCAGTAGTTGGCCACTACATGTTTCTGCAGACAATTAAAATGTACCACCCGTCTTTTAAAAAAAACATTCCCCTCACAAACAAGTGCAAGGTGAACAGCTGCAAGCGGTGGAAGTGGCGTTAGCTGCAACATCCATAAATCTGCACATCTCAGATGAGGCACAGATGTAGCATTAAGTGTAAGCCCCATTCAGGATTGAAGCATAAAACTCGAAATGTTATGATCAGATAACTCTGTGCTGAAAGGAAATGCTGGTGAGCGCCGAGCTGTTTACTTTCAACAAGTTTAATCTACTCAGACCAAACAAAAAGGTTTGCTTTTCATTTCCAAACTCCAAGTTAGAGTTCTCAGGTCATTATCTAACAAAAAGAACCAAAGTGAATTTAGTTCCGATGTCTTAAAAGTGATTTATCTTCGCTTAACAGCAGAAAATGTGAAGTACGAGGACCAGGGCAGCTGAAGCTGAAGCTATCATCCACGATCTTCCAGACAGTGATGATCGCTGTAGATCAAAGAGGAATACTGATGTTTTTCTTGGCTCTGGGAAAGCAGAGCCAAGAAATTGGCCTGCCAGGCCAATTATCACATTGTTGGATTAGCATTTCAGACTCCAAAGTCAGACCTCCAGATCCAAACATGGGACAGAACCAATGGAATGGACCCAACAACAACATGGGTCTGAGCAAAACGACCCCTGTTGTTGAAACAGGCATCAAAGCAGCAGATGCTGACCTCAACTCTACAACATCCAGAAAGACAAGATCAATGTTTTTTGTGACAGATCAAAACAAAGTAATATGCACAGTTGAAGTTGAAGAAAAATTATACATGGTTTCCAATTTCCTCTGACAAGTGGTAAGCATTTGTATTCAGTCACATGCACCTTTTGTTTTTCAGTGTGAAGTTAAGCCAGACCAAACGTCTCATCTTTTAGGTCAGCACGAATTATCAAAATTATTTCGATTTGCTCAATGCCACGATAACAAGAGGAAGAATTTAAGAGATTTATTCATTAACATCTTAATCTTAGTTTTCATACGGAGCGATTACTTTCCTTTAAAACAGTAAGAAAGCCCACATGATGTGATGGGTTTGGAAGCTTCTGATTGGTTAATTGATATATTTGAGATAACTGAAGTAAACGCCTGTAGATTTATGTTAAGGCCACATCTTAAATACTGCTAACTTGTTTGACAAGATCGAGGGGATGTTTTTTATATGGTGTATGCAATCTTCTGCTCTTATTTCGCTGTTTGTTCTACCAGCTTTACTGCCACTGCTTTGTTGAGGGATAACTTTGACCTCCTCCACATGTTTCATCCCTGCCCTGCTGTGTTCCTTGGTCTTCATTATGTTGCTTTTTAACTAATGTTCTCTGAGGCTTTTCACAGAATACCTGGATTAACATCGAAATCAAATTACACAGCGGGACTCTACTTATTAATACGGTGGCCAACAACAACAACAACAAAAACAATCATCATTTTCTTCCACTTCACTTTTATGCACTACCTTGTACTTTTGTATCCCATAAAAGTCTCCATGAAATACATTGTAAAATGTATTAAAATGCGGTTGTAACTTGACAAAATGTAAAAAACTTCAAGGGGCATGGATACTTTTATAGGGCGCTGTAGATAAGCTGAATTAACAGAAATCCGTCTTATCTTTTTGATAATCTATAACCTTCAGCCACCACCGCTCCACTTCCTGACATTTGTAAAGCGAGGCTGAGCTCCACAGCAGGCGATTGGTTTCTCCTCAGGAAAGTTACACCGCCGACGTGTCTGGATGACAGTACGCTCCAGAGACACACATTCAGCAACACTGCAGGCCGACTTTGAATAGTGAGGTGACTTTGAGTCCTGATAAGGGAGGCAGAAAGTCCTACAGCTGGGTGGGGAGTAACCTCAGAGTCTTATCACCACTGAACATGCCTTAGAGTTTCTTAATTTGAAAAGAGAAACTCTTTAGATTTCTGCAGAACTTTTTCAAAATAGTATCAGCTTTCACTTTTTTTTTTTCCTACTGTGTTGACTGAGAATCAGAGAACAACACGCAAACAATAGAGAAGATCAACAGCTGAAAACAGTGTGAAAAGACTTTTGGTTGTCGCGCCTCGGGTTGTTTTTCTCTACATTGACCTCGCCTCTGTTTGAAGCTCCTATGGCGTCTGCGTGCTGTGTCACAACAGTGACACTGCTGAACTCCAAATGACTGTCTCCGAAAGGCCAAGGCCGGCTTTGTGTTTATGAAAATACATGAAACTTTACTCCAGGTGACGACTAGAGGACGCAACGCCTCCATGGATGTGCAAACTAAAAGAGAGGTGTGCTGGATTGTGAACCTGTTTTCTAGAAGCCTTCTTTGACCCAGCTGTCTTCTCCCGGGCAATAAATACAACAGTATTCTCCTCCTTGAATGTGAATGTAAATACACACCCACATAATGGAATGTGACTCTCAACAGGCCTGCATGAATGAATGACTGCTTTCAACGACAATGCAGGCAGACAGACACTTGCGAGGTGTGTCGAGGGAGACCGCCGCAACCTTTACCAAAAGTGTTTGTTTTCACGCCATGACAAGCAACAAAAAAAAAAAAGGAAAAAATGACATTTGCAAGTGTAACACGCAAACGTTACTGAGGCTGGAGGACATAGGCTAAATCTAACAGGTCATGTTTGGATCATAAATTGTAGAATTTATCCAATAGATGTCTGTAGAATTTACATCTGGTAGATGCTATAAAGACTAAGAAGTACAATTTTTTTTTTTTAAATAAAAAATATGATTTGCACTATTCAGCCCCCTTTGTGCAGAAATCCAACAAATAAAACCTACATGTTCAGAAATCCACTTCATTTGTTTTCAGAATCTGTTGTTTTTTTACCTGAGTTCACTGTTTACTCCTTTCCATTTAAACGTTTTTCTCAACATATTTTTCTACTTTATGATCTGCTCTCCTAACACTTACCTGAGTCATCTTTGCCAGATCCAGGGAAGGCCTCTGCTTCTGAGAGTCTGCTGGCCGCCTGCGTTTCACACCAATCTTTTTGTCATTTAAGACACACGGCTGGGAGCGACTCCGGGCAAGGCCACCTTCTCCACCGCGGCGCTCAAGTTCTGGAGTGGAGTCTGGCGAGCTCGCAGGTGAGGGTTCCTCTGCCTCAGGAAGGCAGATTTGTTCATGGGAGAGGTAAAGGGGCTGGGTAGACGGATCGGAGGTGTTGGGATTTGGGCCAGAGAAGGCGGAAGGCCTGGACGACAGCTGGGGGAAGCAGGGCTGCTCTTGGCCGTTGGATCGGGCGGGAAGGCTGAAGCTGGAGCTGCGCTGCATGGCTGGGAAGCAGAGCTGCGAGTTCCCGAGGCCGCTGCGCTGAACGCTGCCCCCGCTGTGGCACCTCCTCTTCTCCACCGAAGTCCACACTCGGGAGCTTTGAGGGCGCCAGGTGGAGCGGCAGCTGCTCAACTCGTCAGAGCAGGACAGGGACCGGCATTGCCGCTTGCTGGGGGGCGCGGTGGAGTGTGAGGCCTCGGTCAGACTCAGGTCCTGCAATAGGCTGGAAATGGTGTTGGATGTGGAGCCCACATCCCAACCCCAGTGGGCAGAAGTTCTGTGCACTTCGGGCAGGACGTCCCACAGGCTCTCCAAGCTGGTTCCGACCGGCCGCTGCTGCAAGGCACAGCTGGTCGCCACCTCACACCATCGGCTTGTCTCTGTAACAAACAGCAGCAGCGGCCTTTTCAAAATGCTCAACACAAGACAGCAGATGTTCAGAGCAAGCTCGTTAATATTTCTCCAATAAGAATGGGCCACTTACTGGTATCGGGATAAAACAGACAAAACACTCATATTTTCCAAATAGATTGTAAAGCATGTGTCAAACTCAAGACCAAAATCAGGCCAGCTATAGCTTTTAATGTGGCCCTCCAGTCCGCCACATTAAAAAAACTTACATCAGGTTATTAAAGATGTTTAATATTAAACATCTTTAATAATATCTTTAATATTATTTAACTTTAAAAAGTACTCATCAAATACACCAACACCAATGTACTTTTGTAAATAAGTTCTTGATTTTGTCCAAAATGAAAATGAGTTTGACATTATTGCTGAGGTTTAAAATACTATGAATCTAAGTTGGTTTTATTGTTTGCTTTTGTTTGCAGTTGCACACAGATGAATCTCACATGGTTGGTTGTAGAGGCTTTGTGAACTGGCTTGAATTAGTAGTGGAAAATTGACACTATGCAGTAAAATTCAGCCCCCAAGCTGTGACTGATGTATTATTATTGATGAAAAGCCTACGCTCGGTCTGTATTGATTGTTTTGTTCAATAGTGATTGAAGCGTTGTGGTTTGAGGGCTGAATTTCTTACTCCATTAGAGACAATATTCCACTAGGATTGGAAAGAAAGTACATTATTATTATCCTGATAAGTCCAAACTGCTGCTCTTTGTTACTATATGTCCCAAGGTTGTGTAGACATAAGTGACGTCAAACTTCTACTTCAGGATAGTTTGCGTATTCATACTAGTCACTGCTTTGTGTTATATATTCACCACAAACACACCCTGCTTTGTCCCTCAGGCAGCGCTCTAGTCGCCGTGCTGACTGGAAAAAGGAAGGAAGCTCAACGTCCAGCTGGCTCAATGCGCTGGAGTTGGAATAAATATATACATCACAAACATTCTGATGACAGAGTTGTTGCAAGGAGCACAGGAAACTAAGTCACCTCCCAAATGATTTTTGTCTTTTCTTTTTAATAAAGGTGACCAACATGAGGTGGTGAGTCAGCAGCTTAACACGGCAGCAGCTATCCATTCGTAGCATGCAGGAAATTAGTTCCTCTCTTGAGATAAACGTCACTGACAATCAAAACAAAAAGCAAAAACAAAGCCTGTTGGAAGTATCATCTTCACCTTGATCCATAGTTAGCCCAAGAATATCAAACATTTTCATCTCATGAAAAAAGTGGGGAAAATCAAGTTTATTGTATATAGGTGTGAGAAGATTTCTGGAAAGATAAACTCACTAACATGAACTCACTTGAATACATTCTTGTACTTGAAAACCACCTGTCAAGCATGTTTCACTTGAATCCATAAACCAACTGCAACAGAGTCAGCGTCCATGTCTTAACCCATGAGACACTTCTGGGTCTTTGAGCAGCATTTAAACCACTTAGTGCATCAAATAACATTGTGAGCACAGTTCAGATTAGGAAAATGAATAAAGCATAATGAATCAGCTACTTTCTGAGACTTGATCTGCACATTCTGGTATTTTAATTATGTTTATTAAGGATGGTGGAGGGGTTGAAATAGTTTAGAATGAATGCTTTAACCTCAATTTAAATCAGCAGCTAGATGTTTGACCTTGCAGTAAAACAGCACAGTGAAGGCAAACAAGCAAATTGGTTTGAGGATGGATAAAACTGGCTAATGTTTAGCTTCTGCAACCGTAACCAGATAAAAATATGTAGAAAATTAACTTAAAAGTTAGAACTGTACCAAAAAACATTAATTTAAAGGAAGTCCACAATTTATAGTCACATATCCAGTCAGGAATACATCAGAAACGTATTGATGACTTTAGAAAAAAAAAAATCCTGGATGGGATGCTAAACAAATATTAGTGGAGGTTTAAGGATATATTTGAGCATGTATATCTATTTTTTCTGCATAACTAATTAAAATGTTTTTTCTAGAATTTAATTGTGTTTGTTGCATAATTATTCCACTGTGCAAAAAAAAAAAAAAACAGATAAATCCTCAGAAGCTAGTAACTCACAACACACATACGTGTAAAGTTTCGAGCACATCTGCATATCAATAAAGTGAGATAAGGAAAACTTACCCATGAGTCCACAAGAAAAAAGTGCCGCTCCTTGGCTCATGGTTGGCACCTGGGAGTGTTAAAAATCAGAACAAGATTCTCTGTCAGCTCATTAAAACACCACAAAAATAAAAGAAATGTGGGACTGTAGAGGTATTAGTTAATAATTTCAATAAAACTGAAGAAAATGGTGAACAAAAGTTCGGCCACGAGGTTACGATGACTTCATTTCATGAGACAGAGGGCAATCTCAGTCCACATAAGTGGGGGAATTTTCTTCTCTGCCGGCAGAGCTTCAAGTTGCAAGGATGCAGAACAAAAAATTAGTCAGAGTTGGTCAGCCTTGTGTAAAAAAATACTCCGCTGTCATTCCAAGAGAAATCCTGGTTAATGCTACCAGCTTTTATGATGCAATCATCTGTAATTGTAGCATAAATGTCCTGCATTTATAATCGTAAAAAGCATTCGCATTGTTTCTCTGATGTCATGTCCTGTGAGTCACTCAGGCAGCCGTTAAATATTTTGCCTGAGAGCTAAGTTACAGCTTTGTTTAAAGAGAAATAGATGGTTTTAATTCCTTTGAAGAGCATATGTCACACAAACACGAAATGACACATTTCACACACAAGGAACTGCTTGTGTGTGAAAACATCCTCTCACCGTGCCCAAGTCTGTGTGTGTTGCTGCTGTTACATCGCCGCCACCCTTTTTTTCCACTGTTTTCTTGTAAATGATCACCATCACAACACGCATCCCTGTCCACAGCTGGTCCAGTAAAGGCAATTCATGCTGAGGGCCATCTCTTCGGGCTTGGTGCTGTTAGTCGGCTGGAATGTGCTTCACTTGTCGGCCCAAACCTGAGAGGATACAGGGAGGTGAGAGCGAAATTAGAATTCTGAGCATCCCCGACCTGGAGACCCTGAAATGCATCATCAAATGTTAAAGAAATCCCTAATATCCCCAAAAGGAATTATTTGAGAATCGCTTCAGTGTCCAATGCCGACTGGAATAACAGGAAGATGGATAGACACATGGGTGGATTTAATTTTTTTTTTTAAATAACTCAAATAAAAACTCTGTAAATCTGGCAGATTTTCTATCACAGCCTCTACACTAAACATTTCAATAGCAGAACAAACTAACCTGAAACCCAAAGCCCCTCACAGACATTTAACCTTAAAGAGTGGCCTTCCATGCACAGATACATTTTTAATACTGAAACACCCAAGCTCCATTTCTCTCTTTCACACACACGCACACACATGGATTCCGTTTCTGCTGTTCCAACACGTGCATCCTGTTCAACATCTACATATGTGGAAGATAATGGGAATTCAAGTTTTTCTGAGGCTGCATTCCCAGAACACACTTTATTTGTCTCCTTCGCCATCATGTGTTTTCACTTCCACATGGCCTCCAAAAGAAAGCCACATTAAGTGGAACTCCACCTTTCTAGATTTGTGCAAGTTTCCTTAAAAGTGTCCCACACTGTAGCCCACAGAGAAGTGTGTAATTGACTCCTCGGGGGCTGGCCAGGAATAGCTGACCTTGCAGTTATCAAAACAGGCCCCCCGTCAGATGGCAGAGGATCTCGCTATAACAGCGATCGGTTACACACGAGGCCACATCAGGTAGAGAAGTCATGGAACCAAGAGGACACGAGATGGTCGTATGATGCCCTGAAGGTCACTACAGGAAACCAGCAAACAAACAAAAACAGAAGAGACGGGAGCAGAAAGGTCTGCTGCTGTGGAGTGCAACAGCGTCACAAGACCAAGCAGGAGCACGCCAAAGGTGCTGTTTGAATTCAGCGAATGACTTCCATCACTAACACTTATCAGCTCGAGACGACGGAACAAGAGAAGTTCTGAGGAGAAGACACTCACAACACTCACTCACCAGATAAACCCAAAGATAATCTTTTTGGGTTTATCTGGTGATAGAAAGGAGCTGAGCTTTGGGAAGGATACCGTGCATGGCGTGGCCATCGACTACAGAGATCTGCGAGATGGCTGCGACTAACGCTGCGGAAGGGGAAACAGTTGTTTACGCATCTAAATGACCCAGAGACAGACACACAGCAACCAACACGAAGTCCTCCTGACCAATGACTCCCAGGGTTATCCGACATTCTTCATGCTCCCATCGTAAACACCACCAATATGTTAAGTTAGGGAAAATTGCAACAATTAAATCATCTTTCTCTCTCTTTTTCCTTCCCCTATCCCTATAAATCTGAACTGAGTACTTTAAGTGGGTGAGGTTTATAACATAATGATAAACATTCCTCTGCTGCATGACACAAGTGGAACACACAATTATAAAAGCCTATCCTAGCCCTGCAGCCCTGGAAAACCACTCAAGCTTGTCTTGGATTTTGAATAAAAACACAAGATGCAAAATGCTAGGAATAAAAAACATAATAAAATGGAATGGAGTGAGACTGCTTTTCCTTGGGTAGACAAAACCTGGATAGCAAACGTAAGATCCGGCATGGTCCAATATCAGTGTCCCCTGGTATGATAACTTGAGATCCAGAGATCACGCTTTAATGTAGATTTCTGGTTTTATATAACATCTGGTTGGCCAAATGTGATTCCTTTTTGTACTTTTCCCAAAACGACAACTATTTTTGCAGCTGGCTTCTTTGAAATCAGTAAGTTTTACAACTAAACGTTTTCCATTACGCCAGTCATATGATTTACATTGGAGATGCAAAAATTATTAATGGGATCCCAAAGAAAGAGTTAGAATGACTCGAGAGTAGAGTTACCAAGCACTGCCCCTCCGCCAAATGCTGCTGTGCACTAATAGCAAGTGTAGATTGGCTACCTGAGCAAATAGCCCAGCTAATTCACATGTTCTGTGCAATAATTAATAGAAAAATAACTGGTTCATTTATTTTTATCCATGTGCATTAAAATAAATAAATATTTTGATGGATGTTAGGAAACATGGGTATGTTTTGAAAGCCTAATTTCAAATTTTCTCATAACTTACCAAGAAAATCTCCTATCAGGCCCAGCTTGGCACACCTTCATCCATTACTGTGCCCAGAGCTGCATCTTAAAAATTTCCAAATTCAGCAACAAAAATATCTGTCCTTCTTCAATTTTGATGTAAAACCTGAAAGCACCGCTCTTAGCGACATAGCCTTTTATCTGGAATTGGTGGGAGTCTCTAAACTTCTGGCATCCGATAACTGTTTTATCTTTAGCCACCATGACAACAGAGAAAGTCTAATCGCTGAGCACAATGCAACAGAACATTTCACTTCCCATCAAAGGCAGACTGACAAACTGACTTCCAACACATCTTTTTGCAATGCTGTCTGGCGTCTGTCCTGAAAGGCAATGACGATGCTGTCTTGGATGAGCAGATGTTGCCCTTCTTCCTTTGTGGTCACCGAAAACTTTTCAACCATGGCCGCTTTGGTTTGTCAGCGATGTCAAGCAATTGTGCTGCAAAAGTGAGATATGACACGAGGAAACCACATAGCTTATTTGGTCAACTCAACGCAAGGGGGCTTTTTTTTGTCAAATGTTCTTCAACTGCATTGTACTACATTTCAATTAGGATCTCAATCCCACTTTGTGACTGAATTGCATTGTAAGTGCATTGATTTAAACAGTGAGTTAATACCTTTTAAAATATAAATGGATATGAATTGGATCTCTTTGTCTTGAGATAGCATGTGTTTATTTGCTCTAGATTTAACTAAATTTCATAAAGACAACTCAAAGCAATCTCAACAAAGACCCCAACAGCAGTGACTGCTCTGATTGAGCAGGTTTTTCATACATTGCCTAGACTGTAATCCTGTGGGTTAGGCCACCATTACATAAGGATTTGTCAGCTTTGTGTCTGACAATTAGAGCTAATACTAATCTGTTTGTAGCACTTGGACAGCCGATAAAAACAAAAGTGTTTGATATGGCTTCAGCTTATTCAGATTTATTATTCCAAATGATTGCCACTTAGAAATGTAACCTTTAATATTTTTTTTCTAAGAAGATGGTAAATTTTAAAAACAAACAAAAATCCATACAGAAGTTTAATGGAGAAGAGGTTTTGATATTCCTAAATAAACACAAATCAATGGAAAGACAACGGTGGCTATCTCTACAAAAGAAGAATCTGCCAAGTACCTGAGATGGGCAGCATCGGAAGGCTGACTAGTGGATTTGTACTGTTCCTCATCTCTACAACCTCTGCAGAAGGAATTCTGGGTAAAAAGGACATTTTCTGCAGACAGTATTCCCTGGGAAACAAAGCAAACAGCTAAACCCCAGAAGAGTAGCAGGTTCCAAATCTATGCCCACATTTTGAGAATTCAAGTTCATTCCAATGACCAAAATCTTGGGGTTTTTTTCTAATTCAAAACAAAAATAAAACAAATTACTATTAATTCTGAAGACTATGGCTTACAGCTGATAAAAATCCAGCACTGAATTGAGCTTGTCTAAAACTTGTAATATTTCATAAGACCAAGACAATGGATGTTTTAACACAGAAATGTTATGTCATGACCATGTCATGTCCTATGGTCACAGAAAACAGACTGCTGACTTGGTAGTTCTTCAGCAGACAAACAATGATTTCCTCCAGAGGTAGGATGTTTTTGAGGGAAAGTTAAGTGGAAGAAAAAAAACCTGCACAGCATTTAAGATGCCACACATTGAGTGGTAATTTGGAGAGACTTGACCTCTTGCTTGTGCCCTAAAACTGTTAAGAGGAAGATGAGAAATTCAAGACAGCTGACAAACAGAAGCTATTAAAGCAATGTGGGTTTTACCAGCAATTGTACATGTCATGCCATGCTGACGCAGTCATACATACAAAATAAGTCACATGTTGAATGAATGTTCTGTATTGTACATACCTTCCAGTAGGCCCGTATTCCTATGCTAATCTTTTGGTTCATTGGCATTGACAAAGCACATTGGAGTCTATTCAACTTTTTGCGCCACATTTTTTTTTCTTCCACATAATTTTTTATTATTATGTTAGCATACTGCACTCTGAATAGCCGACTTGTACAGCAATTACCTTTTTGGGATTACCCTACTTGTGGATCGTCTCAGTGACTGTCTCGTGGACAGCTGCCAAGTCAGCAATCTTTCTCCATGGTTATGTAAGTCAAAATAAAAAGAATTAAAAAACCTTTTTTTGGGTGTTTTTTGTAATATTGTAATTGTCTCAGAAACTGAACTGGGGGTTTTGATTAACTCCAAGTAATTAGCAGAAGAAAAAAAAAATGTCATATTTGTGTAGAAACTGAAACTCTGATATGAAATAAATTCGAAATCTAGCCATCTACTTCTGCTTTTTTTTCTGACACTGCAGCAGCAGATTGCACATCACAGAGAAAACTCCAGGTTTTCGAAACCTGAAACTTCCTTTGTTGGGGTCATTATTTAGCTCCCAGTGAGCAGCAGGTGGTACTTAGTACTGTCGAGGCTGACTGAATGAAAGGAACTTTATGAAACACATTGTAGGGTGCTGGCAAGCACACAGCTGCCCAACACGTTCACAGAAATTAAACCAAGTCATACGGGAGGCTTGCTCCACATTTTTTAAAGCTGTGAGTGAATAGTCAGAAATGAGCATGGCCGGGAGGCTTCAATGGCAGCTATCGGGCTCTGTCGAGGCCCTGGGGTACAGCCAAGGTCTCACAGGCATGCAGCTGCCCACTTACCATAAACACAAAAGCTCAGCATGGCTACGCATGGCAGCCAGGGAGGCCCAGGTTCTTAAAGCTGGCTCGCCGCTTAATTATCTCATACATAATCGCTTGCACTGTATACATTTGTCCAGAACAAGAGCTTTGTTGAGCTCTATAATCGAGGCTTTGGACAAACTTGTCCAAGTTGGAGAAGAAAGTTGTCCGCTTGAATGCTAAATCTAACAAAGTCTCTTATTTACACAGCGGACAAGGGGACACAACAGCTAATGGTACAAAATAGAAATTGGCAGAAATAATTGATCAACAGGCTGATATTACATCTATAATCATGTTCTCTGCATCATGTATTTGTTGATATAATTTTGATTATTAGACTTTGGGATAAATAATTATTTAATGTAGTAAATGTGCAGAATATCATCCTTTTAATCTTAACATAGTTGTGGTGCTCCTACTCCCTCGGGGGTTAAGCAACCAGATATTAGCTGCTTAATTAGATAGGGTACCTGCTAGCATAACCAGCCAGAAGTCAGTCCTACTCATAGTGTTGTTTAGTTTAGGAGCTTACTTTTGAGCTAGTTGACCAGCGGACGTGCAGCAACAGGTGGGGTGGGGTCAGCTCTGCATTACGCTATCCATGACGGGAACGCTGGCGACTTCAGCAGACTTTGGGGCATCTCATTAAAAGGAGCTGAAACTACAGATGCGCCGACAAATGGACTGGATATAGGCTTTGACTGGTGATCGACACTGACATGTTTCAAGCTTAAATGGTCATTTTATTTATAATTAAATAGATAAAAACTAAGAACTTAAAAAATTATTTCATCTTAGATGGGAATAATCTTCAAATCTGACTTCAAACTAATATCTGTAAAAGAATCTGTAGCCTGATTCAGCTTGATAACAAATACCATGTCTAAATGTTGTTAAAAGTTCATTAAAATATGTTTTAAGATAATGACTAAGTATTTCCAGTGGTACCTAAAAAGGAAAGGTAAATCATCTGCAAGGTCTTGATTGAAAACAAGTTAAAACGTTCAACAGTTTTTCACACGAGCGTACAGAAGCCTACCTTCCAGCTGGATGGCACTTGTCACAAGAAAAAGTGCCCAGAAAACGGAGCCGTTCCACAAGTGACTGGCACACTCTATTAAAACCCAATTTCTAATGAAAGGGAAACGGGTTTGGCAGAGGAACTGAACTAAACCACAGTGAGAACATGATTTTGAACTTCACAAAAGCAGCCAAGCCCTTGTAACTGTAAAGCACTAACTTTACATGCAGAAAATATTAAATTCTTTAGCAGTGAAAGACTCAATTTGACTCCAAAAACTTAACAGTCACAACTGTGGCCATGTAGGACACTTCAGCGTTCACTTTCTCTGTTTTTGTTTATGGTGCCGGGATGGTAAACTGCTGAATCTGTAGGATGTGTGTCAGCCAACCCTGACTTCATACCTGAGGGGCAAGCTGGCTTTCAAAATGATAAGACAACCACATTCAGCTGAGGTGCCACAGTCTGAAACCAAAAGTCAAAAGAAAAATAGCACAGCCATAAAATAAGGTGGTGTCAGCAAGTATTCAGCTGCAATAAAAACTCATTAAAAAAAAAAAAAAAGCAACCAAACAACCCCTGTAGGGTTGTTTCCTCCTATGTCTTACTGATCATACTGAAATGATCAGTATGACATAATCAGCATCTGATGCAATAAACTTAATAAACACCTTTTTACTAAGTATTAAGCAATCATGTGCCTGGTTATTATTCACAACACTTGAGAAGGTCTCCAACAGATTTCTCACTGTTTAGGTATCAAACAGATAGAGTATAGTAAGAGACAAGCTGACTTTATTTCTAAAAAAAATAAAAAATAAAAAAAAAGTTAAAAGGGGAAATTATGAGAGCTAAAACAGACAAAACAAAGGGATACAGTTAGAGCAGTTCTCATGAGGAAAACTTAAGCTAAGCTAACAGAAACTCTATTCGAACTCCCCCGAAGACGCTACCACTAGCAATAATAATGACAATTCTCATAATTTAGGAGTAACATAGCTTCAAAACGAATTATAACATTGTTTGTAGTGTAGCTGTAGATGTTACAGTAAGTTTTCTGAGCAATGTTGCTAACATTTGAACACAATTTCCAACTCACAAGCATCACTGTGATGAGTTCCTCGGGTTTCCAACAATGAGAGCAGCTGTTTATTTTCTGTCAGCCATGGCGAGTTTCCTTTTCGCAAAAAATATAGAAACAACAACAAGGTGGGAAGCAAAGTGAACAGCTCACTTCAGCTGCTCTCTACTAACTACAACACTGCCCCACTACTCTACTGTCCCACAGAACTACACGCTAATGAGCTTGTGACGGCTTGTGACGACTTGCGTGGACGATACCACTCATACAGGGGGGAGGTGATTAAAAAATTTTTTGATTAAAAACACCTTTAAATCTCATACCTAACGTTCATTATCTGTATTATTTTCAATACTTAAAGTTGTTATGTTTTCTGAATTGAAGTGTGAGGAACATGAGTGGAAAACATTTACTTTGAATTACTTTTGTTGGGGCAAACACCCCTCCATCCGAAGTAATGAAAAGTAACCACAACTTCTGAGTCAGGCAAAATAATAGTGAGATGCCCGTCTCTTTAAGAGATCCTGATCATTCTTCTCAGTTCAAATGCAGGATTAAGAAGATGGAAAAGTATCAATAATAAGTATCTTTGCTTGACGAACAGGGTCAATTTAGCTGTATCGTTAAGAAAATACAATCCTTTTTTTAATATTGCATTTTCACAAATCACAAGCTGTGTTGAAAGGCTATTAAATCATTATTAATCATTATTAGGCTAGTCAATGATCTTCTTATATTCACACTTTAAATGGGTAAAAATATTTTCACCCCGATGCATCCCTCCTGAAGAAATACATCTCCACTGTCAAACAAAGAGGTGGCAGTACAATGCTGTGGGGATGGTGTTTCCAGTGTTAGTTTTATGCCAAAGTTTGCATTGTTACTGTAAACCAAATAGTTCAGTTTGGCTTTCTTTTGACTAGAACACCTTTTTCCTCATATTTAGTGTGTCCTCTTTATGGTGTGCAGAAAACCTTCAAATGGTCTTTCTACAGTGGCTTTTTACTTGCTGCTCTTCCATGAAAGCTGCATTTGTGCAGTGCAGGAAAAATATCACTTTTTTTCACTTCATAACATGCACCACTTCATGTTGGTCTATCACAGAACCTTGTTAAAATCCAATGAGGTTTGTGGTTGTAATGTGACATTTATGTCAAAAGGTTCTGGATATTTGAATAGCATTGCAATGGAAGAATAATAATAACAAGTACCTGACAAATTTGAACCATAAGATATTGTGGTTTATTGTTATGAATACTTAAGTAAACCTTTGCCACCTTTGCCAAAAACCTTCACCTACTGGAATATGCCCCAAAATGTTTTTTTTTTTTTTTTTTTACAGTAAGTTGAAAACATTTCCAAGAGGAAGAGGGGAGCATAATGAATTTGCCTAACTGGGCCTCATAAGGGTGGGGAGCTTGAGGCTCACCCCTGGCAGACACTATTGTTAATCAAGGAGTAACATCTGCTGTGTTCTTCTAATCTTCTCCAGACTGTCCTGCTCGGTTTTAGACTGTCTGCTTTTATTTTTGCCTGCCTTTTGGGTGACTCAGGATTTGTCTCTCACACGATATCGGATACCGGCCTAGAGTTAAGTTGTTGGAAAAGTGCACTTCTTTAGTGATCACATGAAGAGTAAGTAGTATTGGGGAAAAAAGTCATACAATGTAAAGAAATACATGAAAGAAAAGAGGTTTCACATTTTCATAAATGACTTGAATTTCTTAAATACATAATCATGTAGTTCAATAAATCTTGAATTAAATATATGAATTATGGCATAACCTTTTCTATAATTGGTCAAACTTTTAAGAGCATTGCACATTATGAATTATTTAAAACTATAAATGTGGCTCATCAGTTAATGACACGTGATTGGTTACCTAAAAATTATTTTAACTGACAGCTATTCTTATTCACTCACTGTGTAAAACTAGTGAATAATGTGTGTGTGTGTGTGTGTGTGTGTGTGTGTGTGTGTGTGTGTGTGTGTGTGTTGTTTTGATCATTTGCCTATTTACTTAAACTATGCATGTTTAATTTAATCTAATTTATCACATGAATATATATTGATTACTCAAACATCATAGAAAAGAAGCAGGTGATTAAATAATGTTTATTTAATCAGTGTATGTCTATTTGTACTTGCTGAGTACAAGACATTAGGAGTAGGCTGGGTGTGTTGTTGCTGTGAAAACCATAGGGGGCAGTGTCCACCGGACATGTTACAAGAAAAGAATCAAAAAGTGATCGAGACGTATTATTAAAAAATGGATATTGTGCATAATTGCAACAATTGTTAATTGTTTGATTTTTCTTACTTTTTATGGTTTTACTGTTCGTTCAGAGAGATAGCGTAAGAGAGAGAGAGAGAGAAAAGCAATCTTCCAGAGAGCCCCCTGCATTATGCTGGGTGCCATCTGCAGCTCACACTGGCCAGGAACAGATGGCTGAAGAACTCCTGTTACAGGAGCAATTGCTTCTCAACTTTAATGAACAGTTAATCCCCTCTGTGGCGAACAATTCCCATTTTATTACAAGTAGAGGTTGGTATTCATGCAAAGTGTCAAATCAATCCAATAAAACCATATGCACAAACTTTCTAAATATGTGGCAATTAGTTTCTCAGCTGATTAAACAGAAATGAGTGACTCTTCATATCTAAAGTGCGTGTCATTCCACTTTCACACAAAAACACAAACTGTCTGAGAATCTGTTTTGCGAAAACAACCAGACTGATTAAAAGAAAAACACTGACACCATTTGTCAAAATTTAGAAGTGCACAACTTTAAGAAGTGTCAATTAATAGGTTGTTGAAATTTCTTTTACCCAGCGGTGTCCTGTAACTACAGTCGGGACATAAAAATAACCATATGGCTTTCATGGAGTTCCCATCTAGGTTACGTTGCCTTTCATTCTTCCCACTAATCCTCACCCATTATGTTTATAGCCAAATTTAAGTGAACAGACTCATCTCAGTGGGCCTCGAGGTCTCCCTCTCAGAGGATCCAAACCCAAGTCGCTGCCAAATCATGATTTAATAAAGCTCCTCTGTGTCTGGAAGAGGGGCAGCTGTTTGCCCAGCGACGGTTTGTGAGGGACCCAGGAACATCCATGAGTGTGTACGGTCTTTTAAATGAAAATAAATAAATGTGTGAATGATTTAAATTTTTTTAGATCAGCAGGCAGTAGCTAAATAAATATAATTGTCATACCTATTTTAATTTTTATTTGTAAAACGTTTTGCAAACTACTTATCAAATTCCAACAAATTTAAAGTCTGGAATACATTTATCAGTCATATTAAACCCCAATAACATCATCTGAACTTTATAGATGTAAAACAAAATGTGAAAAATGTTAATGACTGAATAGATTTGCAAAGCGATGCACGAAGGAAGTGTTTTGAAATGTAATTAGAGAAAGCCTCATGTGTGATACCATCTAAATCAATCTGCAGGTTTTTGGAACTTTTCAGTTTGCACGGTCCATTTAAAGGCAGAGTTTCATCTTAGTCTGTGGGAAACCGATTTATTCAGGTACAGCTGCTTTCAGTTCATTTAGATTGCTTTGATAAACAGAGAACAGCCCTTCAAGTATTACATTCATATTCAAGAACAGCAACCGACACAACATAAAGAGAGCAGCTTTATGATTATTTCATACATTTCTTTTAACTCTTTTGCATAGAACCTCCACTTTAAATATTATAACATTATGTATAAAAGACGCATGTAATAAGTTACGTTTAAAAAAAACACAGAGCGGACATTAGTGAGTAGACTGCACAGTCTCTCCCTGAGAATCCCTCCTCTTGTTCTCCATGTACGCCTGCACGGACCTCCAGAGGGCCCGGATGTTCCCTTCGCCAAAACCCGTCGCTCCTCTGCGCTCAATCAGCTCCAGGAAGAAGGTATCCTCAGCGAAGAGGGGCTTTGAAAACACCTGGAGGAGATATCTGAAAGCGTAACCGAAAGGTCAATACACATTATGAACCACCTTTAGTATGACTCTTGCTACTAATCTGCATCAAACTGACTTTCTATGCATCTTCAGTTCAATAGCCATCATTTAAAGTTTAGAATAAGTCTTACTTCATATTCTTATCGAACAGTTTATTGTCAATACCCAAATAAAACAGCTGCCTATGAAGGTTTTCACTCTTTATGACAACTGGCTGTATGAGAATAAACTGGTAGTTTCACCTTCTGTTTTCGCTGCATCCTGTCTGTGATGATGGAACCTGCTGCAGGTCTGTGTCCAGAAGAATGCCGTGCTCTGAAAGCCTCTGGGGATCGAGTCCCGCCTCCTCTATTTCCCGCTGTTTTCCGACCTGCCGGAGCACACGTTACGTGTAAGAAATCACTGGTTTGCAAATCAGTTGGATGGATTTTCAATGCGCCTGACGCACACATGCAATCTCGGTCCTGGGGACAAAGACCGAAACGCTCAGAGTGACGTGATTTTCATGACGATGGTTAAAAACATGTAGAGTGAAGGAGGTTACCTTAATAATATTCCAATTCCGACTTTTTTTTCTTGTCTATCTGAACTCACTTTTTGCTGTTGCTTCTCCCTAAATTTCCAGGTTTTATTTAAAAATTAAATATCCTCATTGTACAAAAAAAATATGCATTTGCTTTGATTTATTAGAATATTTTCTAAATTTATTAGTTTTCAGGATATAGTCTTTTTTTTATTTAACCATAAGTGTACACCATCATTGAGTATATCAGGTAATTAGAAACAATATTTTATCATTTCATTTACTCATCTGCAAGATCTCCTCTGACAAGAAAGTTCTTAATAACAATAGGTGGATATTCTGGTAAGACAATTCTAAATGTATTTGAAAATTTAAAAAATAAATAAATAAAACAAGGCATCCCCAAAATTAAAAATGTAAAGACATTTAATAAAACACAGTGCATTCCTCCAACAATTATCTGAATATGTTTGACTTAACAATCATTCTTCAGCCTGCAGTCATTCTTTTGCTTTTGTAGCAATGGCCTTTTGTGGATCATTGTAAGCAATAATTATCAGAATTAATGGAGATAAAAGCTTGAAACACATCATACTATCAAATAACTCTTTAGGACTTTCCATTTTTAAAACGAAATACTCAAATGAACACATGACATGCAAACCAGACTCTGTATATCTGTGGGTTTGTCTGTGTTGTTTTCATGAACAAAGAGCAGCTCTGTCCTTGCTGTGCTGGGCGGTGTTGTGGCCTTGAAGAGACCGATTATGAGCTGAGCTGTGTCAGGAAATCCACATAGAGAGACTAAAAAAATAGGAGTGAAACCAACTCTAATTTTATTTTCTTTGTAAAGAAAAAAAAGAAAGAGAGACAGCATTGAATAAACTGACCGTCTAAACTTTCTTCTCTCTTATTGCAGTAAGGTGTGTGCAAACCTCTGTGTAGTATGCAGGAGGAGGGGAGAAAAACTGAACCCCAGCTTCAGCCATCGCATGCACGGTAGAGACGATGTTTTTGGTGTAGAGTGCGACGTGCTGGACGCCTGCCCCTCTGTGCTGCTCCAAGAAGGTGTCCACCTGGTTGCGGCCTAAGATATGAGCAGTGGTGCACTCAGAAGCTGTGATGTCATGAACTGTAGAATAATCTGAAATATCAGCCGGGTTGTTGTACCTTCATGAGGAAGTGATTCTGCGATGACAAACTTGCAGTCGGGTTCTTTTTTGTCAGGGAAGGGAAGAGCGATGCCCGCTTTGCTGGACTTCCAGTACTGCATGGCAGTGAGTCGAAGTCCGACGCCTTCCTGGTTCACAACAAAACCTTCGTCTATATCTTCATCGCTGCAAAAAAACAGAAAAGGAGTTGATCACCTTGGGATAGATTACCTCATAATGTTGTTCTAATAGCCATTCATTTAAAAAATGACATGACAGTTAAATTTTTTTGTGGGTGTCTGAAAAATCCAGTAACACCACTGAGAAAAGCAAAACACAATGCCTTGCAAAAGTTTTCTAACCATTTTGATTATTTTTTTTATTTTGTTCCATTCCAGTCACAGGTTTGAATGCACCTTAACTGGGTTTTTGATAACCCAACACATGGAAAATATGATTTTTGCAGATAAGGAAGTTTTCTTGATGTTTTTGGAGACTTTAAAGACACAAATCTGCAAAAAGATGTCTAGTTTGAATATTAAATGTCAACATTTGCCACCTAAACTAACTTAGGAGGCCCAAAAAAAAAAAAAAAACTTTCTCCAACATATTTTTTTTTCTGTTTACAAATACGGACGAATATTACTGCTGAGCAATATCCATCTCTCACCAGTAAGTGGCACTAAAGGATTCTTCACAACTTTGGCCTTACTCAACGCTCAAATCCACAGTGATCATCACAAAAAAAGAGACAAATATATATAAAAAAGAACCAACTATAATTAACATAATATATTTAATTATATATTATGTTAATTTTGCTGAGTTGTTTCAAACATTTCCACCATAAGAACAAAATTTGACTGAGCATTTTTTAAAATCATTATTAAACAGTGTGGCTTGATTCCATAGTGCGTAACTACACTCTGATGCTCTCATACGTTATTTCTGCCTTTCACTTACCCAGCAATGAAAAACCTCTGAAAGCCAAAAAGCTTCCCATACCACCCCATGACCTGGTGGGATGACTTTCGAGGACAGGCATAAGTTATGTGATCAAAATGGGTAACTGGACAAGACAAGTCCTCCTTTTCCAAGCTCCAGTCCTTTTCAGTGACAGTGAAGCCGGGCAAAAAGGTCCCTCCGTATTTTGTCTTGTCAATCAACGTGTGGCACACGTTTCCCACGATCGACTTAACCACAGAGTAGGTGACGAGGCCGTTCTGGTCCTCGACGGTCGTGGGAGGAACGAGGAAGTTGCAGCCCAGCTGGCGGAGCACCTTGAACGACCTTTCCACATCTTCCACCTCGAAGCACACGTTACTGACAGAATCCACCGGGTGGCGGGTGTGAAAGTCGTAAAGATACGACTGGTTACTCTGCTTGTGTTTCTCTGAGTGGACTCGGGGAGGATGAGCGGAGTGTCCACCGTTCCCACCGTCCTGCTGCCATTCATTCAAACCCGCACTGCCCGGAACCGGTCCCTCATTCACAACGAAGACTGACGTTCCCTTCCGGAAAGCCACCTGCCTTGACTTGTCAGTCAGCCTGGTGGCAAACAAATCAAATTTGTATTTTGACACAAGCTCGTGAGCTAATTTCAGCCCGTTAGAAGCGTGAAGCGAAACGTGGTGTAACCGGCGCAAGGGGACTGCCATGTTTTCCCCCGTTCTCTGACGGGGTGCGCATCATTTGTAAGCCGGGAAGAAAGGTGGCGCGCCGTGTGGACTTGGTTTGCACAGACGCTCAAATGGCACTATACCACTCAATAATAATAATAATAATAATAATAATAATAATAATATAATAATAATAGTAACTGATTAATTAATTTAAATGTTGAGATGAATGGGTTACATGTCATTGTGTTTATAAATTGTGCATCATAAAGACACAATTTTCATACTGGTTGTATCTTATTTTGAGTGGCAGATAATTCATGGCTTAATAATTCATATATTATTAAGACAAAAATACATATTATAATGAAATTTAAAGGCAGTTAATTCAAAATAACATAAATAGTTGACAATAAATGTTAGTCTTTCATATTCTTGTATTAATACCTTTACTAATACAAGTATTGATTAATACCTTTAGATGTAAACTTGACACTGACAATATAGATCAAAATAGTGCTTCAGGAAGAAATTACTGGAGGAGTATTTTGAAGAATTTCCTTTAGTATCTTCAGTTTTATTAGGAAGAAAACAAACAAGAACACGGCGATTGATAAATCATATTCTTTGTTTCTGCTTTGAAAAAAATATTCAGCTTTTCAGTTGCTGTTGATGAAGCATTTGTAGGCTTTAATATAAATGATTAAAAATAGTACTTTTTTGAAAATACCCTTTACGGAACATTTCAATAGTGTGCTTAGAAAAAACTTTGTTCTATAAACTCAAAATAAAATTCCACAAGACAACTTATAAATCTACCACATATTCTGTATGTATTTTTTATAAGTTTTATACAATAGTCCACCATAAAGTCCCAAAATACAACAGCATAAATGTATCTCTTGCCTCTAACTAATCAGAAAAAGAAATAAGGCAGACATGCAGCTGTTGAAAATCTCTCGATCATGATGCCTGTTCACAATCCATAGCCTGCAATGTTAACCCCAGCAAGGTAGTATTTTCCTCATAATTTTCCCAGGCATCTCTCGGCTAACTGTTAAGGAACGCACCCAAACGTATTTAAATTATCATGTAAGTTTGTAAGTTGGTACGCAATTGAGGACAATGCGTATCAATGTGAAATCTTTTTGCGATACCGAAAATTCCGTCGGTTCCTGAAGGCATCCCAGCACTCAGCCAGATGATTGGTGACGACACCAGGCTTGAGTTTATTTTGGCTGTGCTCCTCATTTGTCTCGCTGTCGCCGCCATTAAACCAGACGGGGACAGTTGTAAACCATGGAAAGCTGTGAATTCATACCGTGAGTCGCGGACTTCGGAGGGGTCTGTCTTTGTTCTGCGAGGTGTCGCTGGATTTGTAAAGGTGAACATGTGAGAGACAGACGGAGTGTTTTGGACAGGGAAAGGTTTGATTGAGCAGGAGGAGACCTGGATGAGGAGGCGGAGGTGGAGAGGGGTAAAGCAGGACGGGAAGGATTTGTTGTGGTTTTCATCAGCTTTCAAGAGGCCTACACCGTCACGAAACGGTAATATATTGCATACTTTACTTACCTTATGAGCTAACGTTTTTGTGGTTGTGCCCTAGCAGATGACTGTCGGTGGTTTGTCGCTAGTTAGCTAACGTTCACTCGCTACGAAGTTAGCTTTCCAGCTAGCAAAGCTTATGCTGAAGGCTGAGAATCCAAACAAAGAATCCACACTGTTACACAAACGCAACGCTGCCTCTGATAGCGTACAACTACTGTGTTGCTTTACCTATTTTGAAATTACAAGCTGCCGCATTTTGAGGAAGAAATTAGCAAACATGTGAAGGGTTTAAAGGGTTCGTACGTATGGATCAAGCTTAAAATGCCAGACTCCCACAATTTAACTAAGCTCTCTGTTGATTTTAGAGTTCTTAACTCCCCAGTAAATTATTTGTAAATATCGATCTATTTTGTTTTAAATTTTCAGTTATGAGATTTTCCTCTAAAATGGCACAATATGTTTGCAAACATGAAACTCGTCGTACTGCTGCTGTCGCAAAACATCCAGCAAATTCTTGCAATTTTGTTTTTTTTAGCGTTTTGTTTTTTTGTTATTTTGTAAAGAGTAATGACTCAGATTTCCCCTGCTCTGCTCTTTGTAGATGAACAAGGGTACAGCAAGCTGTTATTAGCTGGTTAGCGGGGCTGTCTGCTTGTGTAGCCAGCCTGCGCTTGTACTTTGCTTACAAGAGCTTCAAAACTTACCTGGTTGGAATTTTTTTCATGGTTCATTTTTAAGAACTTTACAAAACTACAGTGTTCTATCATGTGATCCCCATGATTTTTAATTAATTTAAAAAAACGTTTACCTCCGATTTTATGTCATTATTTTGCCATTAGTTGATACACAAATCACAGCTCAACTTTCTCATACAACTCAACCATGAGCAAAACCAATGTACTGAATTTTACTGGCACTATCGCCCAAACACCTGACTGGTTCTGTCAGAAAGCTTCCATATCAATTTGACAACTTGAAAATCTGATTTACAACAGTTCAGTAAGTTTGAGTATTATAAAACTGAACCTTCATGCTGTTGCTGTTTACCATATAGGTTTGTCTATAGCTTTTATAGACAAACCTATATCTAAACACCAGATGTTGGCTCAGTTGAACAAACTTAGCTTACCAATTGTAGCTCAAAACAGCATCTCTCTCTTTTTGTAATTAAATAAAAGCTAATCAATGTAATAGCCTCCTTTAGTTTCCCACATGGGACTATTGCCCAACAGCTACATTTGTCTTCCTCCAGGCCGGTAGTGTCCATCATCGGGAGGGTAAGGGCCTGCACTCCATTAAAGGAAAACTTTCGCTGGCATAGTTTGAAAAAAATCTTTAAACTATATGATGAAAGATTTTAGCAGTCTAGAGTCTGTAACTTTTTAAAGTCTTGGTAACCATCCCATTCCTACTTGAGACTGATGTGGTGGATGAACAAAAAGATATCCACCTTGTAACTGTTAGTGTTTTCATGTGAAATCAATTTTGTGTGGGCTTTTTCTGATTTTTAATGTAATATATATTACATATTCCATATTTGAAAAATTCCGAATAAATGCTTTTCTAGTTGAATCCCAAATAAATGGGACTTTCAAATAGAAGTTTTACAAAGTCTTACAAGCTCTTTCTGTTTGTTTCACTTGAAGCTGGATTTTAACCGCCAGGAAAAAGCAACGCACAATGACGGAACAAAGGGTGAAGTGGGCCTGTGACTACTGCACCTACGAGAACTGGCCGTCTGCTGTCAAGTGCACAATGTGCCGCGCGCCAAGGTTAACGGGGCCCATCATTACAGAGGAGCCATACAGAAACATCCCTGAACCCGATCCTGGTCCGGAATGGGATCCTGCCAAAACTGGGAGCAAGAGCAGCCTCCTGATCTGCCCGGATTCCAGCGCCAGACCTAGAGTCAGGACATCCGGCGTGGCCGAGCTCGCCAGCAAATGGTCCTGCCAGGTGTGCACATACCTGAACTGGCCGCGCGCCGTTCGCTGCACGCAGTGCCTGTATCAGCGTCCGCGGACAAGCAGCCCAACGGAGTCGCCCCAGACTTCAGCTACTAACGCAGGCTGCCGCCCCGCCGGCGTCCACTCTCCCGTGGATACGTGTGAGGAATATAACGACAGGAACAGACTCAACACGCACCAGCAACACTGGACTTGTACAGCTTGCACTTACCAGAACTTACCCAGAACTACAAAGTGTGTCATGTGTGACCTCCCCAAACCCAACAACCAGGAAGCAGTAGGGCTCCCGGAGCCCGCTCAGTCCTGCCCCCTGATCATCGAGCAGGATGCGGCACGGTGGAGGGGCAGCTGCAGTGGCAGCCAACTTCAGAGGAGATCCCCTCCTACGGCAAAGAGGGAAGACATCCAGAGAATCGAGGTCGCAGCTGGAGCCGTGAGCACGGAGGAGCATGAGGTCAACTTCAAGAAGCTGAAGCAGATCAGGAACCGGATGAGGAAAACTGACTGGCTCTTTCTCAGTGCTTGTGCTGGTAAGCTTTTACTTTTCTTATTACACTTTCAGTTTAGATAAAGAAACACCTGTTTTCACCTCATCTAATCAACATAGGTCACAATTATACATACAAGCCCAGTAACACCTAGTAGAAAGTCCTTTATGAAGCTACTGGCATAGTCTTGCACTTATTTGACCATTTTTATCAGAATTAGTGTTTTATTTTATTGAAATTATTTGATTTTCTGGCACAGAAGGAGCTTTCAAGCTTAATACACGCTGTTGGTAAAGTGGAGGAAGGGGCAGATTATTCATTTATTATAAATTTTTCTGAGTAGTAACGATGTTAAACAAAAACAGTAGAAATTTGGTCCAATTTAACCTTGAGGCTGAGTATGTTCTCAATGTGCCACTGAGAGGATCTTTAAGAATCTGAGTGTTTCCCAGCTGGTGGGGCTGAATGGGGCGACTGAGCAGAGCAGTGAGAGTGGAGCCTGTGACCGGAGTCCCTCTTGGCTGTGAGTCAACACACCCTGTAAACAGTGGCGCTTATGTCCCGAGCACGGACCTCCGGGAGACAAAAATAGCCTCGACGAAAACATGAGAAACTGTCAACCACAGAAAACCTGAAGGCAAAGCAGCACGTGATCAGCAGTGCACTCTTGACCTTTGCACCGATTGCACCTCCCAACTTGCTGTTGAGGATTATAAATCACTACAGTTGTGCTAGGATTACTAATTTTTGGTCGGTTTAGCACATCTACAGAGGCAGCTGACTCACTAGTTCTCCTTGTACTGTTTCTAAGCAGGAAGTGTCTGAATCAAGCGGTACAGTTTGACCAAGACGCCAAGCACTTCCTTTCGTCTGAGAACTCAAGTCTCACTTCACTGTGTTGTTTCCTCATATTTCTGCTGCATTAGACATCTGTAGTCGAGCCAGAATCTCTGTCCCATTGGTTCAAGCATCACCTTAAAGATAGCCAGCTTCTGTTTTCATGTTGTTGTTGTTTTTAACTACCAGCTTCCACTGAC